ACCCAACGGCACGCTGGGGGCCGAGCTGGAGCGCCGCTGGGAGAGCCTGGTGGCGCGCTCGCTGGCGCGCCTGCCGGTGGCCGCGCAGCCCAAGGAGGCGGCCGTCCAGGGCGGCGCCGGCGACTACCTCCTGGGCATCAAGCGGCTGCGGCGGCTCTACTGCAACGTGGGCATCGGCTTCCACCTCCAGGTGCTCCCCGACGGCCGCATCGGCGGCGTGCACGCGGACACGGGCGACAGTGAGTGGGGCGGGCCGGCGCGAAGGGTCGGGGGCCCCGGGCAGCGGCCGCCCCTGCCGACCACGCACTCAGGGTCCCGGCTAGCACCTGCTGGCGGCCGTGGGAACCGGGACGGACTCGGGGTCGGGGCCCTCCGGCGCAGGGACACAACACTCTCGGCCCCGGGAGTCGCCGCGGGCACGGCCTTTGCGCACCCGGGCGAGCCGGCCCCGCCTCCCCGCCTTCGGAAGCCCGGGCTCTGGGTGCGGAATTCCAGCGCCCGCGCCCGTGGGCACGAGGCAAAGGGCGCAGCCAGCCGGCACCCGCGGGGGGTCCCGGGAAGCGCGTCCAGGCCGGGCCGGGCTCGCGGGCCCGCGGGGCCGCCCGACTCCTACCGACCGGGACTGGGCGCGGCCGCCGCGGGGCCCGGACGGGAGGCTAGCGACTCCGCGCCCGCGCACGCTGGGATCCGGGGCCCCGTTACATCCACCCCCACCCCAGAAACCGGGGCCCCGGTGGTTCGCAGGCCGAGGAGGGGATCCGGGACGGGTGGGGCGGGCCAGGGTCCCCTGCCCGGGAGTGACCCGCGCCCCGCCCCCAGGCCTGCTGGAGCTCTCACCGGTGGAGCGGGGCGTGGTGAGCATCTTCGGCGTGGCCAGCCGGTTCTTCGTGGCCATGAGCAGCAAGGGCAAGCTGTATGGCTCGGTGAGTACCTCCGGGGCCGGGAGAGCCCCAGGCTGGGGCAGCACGGGCAGGACCGCGACCCTTCCAGGACGGCCTATGCCTGGATCCTGAGACTGTGGTGGGTCACAGGATTGGCACCGCCTCCCCCCCAGTACACAAGTACCCCGAGGCCTCGCTGGTGACCCTGCGCCTGTCCAAACAAGGGGCAGAGAGCCAGGACAGGAACAATGAAGTTTCTACCATCCCTGAGCCACACCTTCTAGTCCGTAAAGAGGGCCGTTGGCAGCCCTGCCCTGTAGCCTCTCTCTGGTGGGTTCCGGCAGGACGACGGCAGTCTATAGGGTGGTCGCAGTGCAGATGAGATTCTCTGGCCGTCAGGTGCCAGGCAGGTGGCTGGAGCACCAGCTGCGGGGGGCTGGCCACCTAGGTCTTCTCACCCTGTGGGGGTCTTGGCACCCCAACTTCCCAGGAGAGACATCTCAGTCAGAGCAGGGCTGGGTCAGAAAGGAGCCCCTGACAGGTGGCCCTCAGGGTTCCTTGGCCAGGAGGTGGCCCCACCTGACCCTGTCCCTTCTCCCTCCCAGCCCTTCTTTACAGAGGAGTGCAAGTTCAAAGAGATCCTCCTCCCCAACAACTACAATGCCTACGAGTGCTACAGATACCCGGGCATGTTCATTGCCCTGAGCAAGAACGGCAAGACCAAGAAGGGGAGCCGAGTGTCCCCCACCATGAAGGTCACCCACTTTCTCCCCAGGCTGTGACTCCCGGCATCCTGCCTCAGTTTCCGGATGCTCAGGAGACTTTCTTCAGATGGACGATCTAATGCAAGAGTAGGTGTAAGATATTTAAATTAATTATTTAAATGTGTATATATCGCCACCAAATTATTTATGGTTCTGTGGGTGTGTTTTGTATTGTTCTGGGGGGAAAAAAAAGACAAAAAAAACCACAAACAAACCAAAAACAAAAACAAAAAACCCCAACCCTGAGTTTTCCGGTAAGACGGTGAAGACCTTTCCACTGGATTTATTTATCTTGTCAGAAAGTTGTCACAAGTGTGCTGCTACTCTGTGTTTAAAAACGGTGACGTCAGACTCGAGTCTTAACCCTGCTTTGCATGGTCCCCTGCACTGCAGTGGTGAGCATCCATCCCCGTGTCTGGAGAGGCCTTCCCGGGGCTCTGGAGACAGCTAAGGACCCTCCCAGCCCTGGCTCTGCTCCTAGCATCCTCCAGCGCCCCGCTCCTTTGTGCCCTGTTGCTATTCATCGGGACATATCGCCTTACTTCGGGTACAGAAAATGCACTGTGGGAGCGCATCGCTGCCCCTCTGTTTTTAGATCTGCCAAGACTGACCTTTGAACTTTTCTGTAGTCAATCTTCCTCCATCTCCCCGATGGGGGAGACTCTTAGACAACTTTATAAACTCCTGTTTTCCTTTTTTGGATCAGCCGCAGCCCGTGTTTCTCTGTGGCCACTGGGGCAGAGGCAAAAGCAAAGCAATTTTGTAAATCCGACAGAAAGGAACCGATATCCCGCTGGAAGGCTTGCAATGGACAGATGGGTGTATTTGCGACCACAACCAAAACCCTAGTGATAAAATACAATATGTGATAGCTGGTACTTCTGATAAGTAATAGAATATAGATTTTTTTTAGTTTTTTTTTTTTTTTTTTTTTAATGTGCTTCCCTGTGCTTGGGGAAGATTTGGGCTAGAACTAGCTGTTCGTTTTAGGTGAAATGTCCTTGTCATTGTGCAAAAACACTGAATGCAGTGTTTGCATGGAGGAAGGTGCTGCTTCTCTCCATTGCATTCCCTCATGAAGTGGATTTAACATCTACCTCGAAAGCCCTTAACCCACTCATCTGGCGAAATCTGCAGAACGCTCAGACCGGGCGCAGGCGTTGGCCATCCCGAGTGGCTCTTTTTCCATATGTAGCCAAAGAGGATTGCAGATAGCCTCGGTGCATCCCATTGAAACCTTGTCACGTTTGAGCTATCTTTACCCCGTGATTTACTTTTAGTAAGGATAATCATGGTGAAAATATTTGCAGACAGCTGTTAGAGTGCGCTATATGGTCACCAAGTAACCTTATATTTTTCTTTATATATTTTACAAATGTAACCCCTGTCGCTGCAGCCAAGATGGAAGAGGCAGGGTCAGTGATGTTTAAAAAAAGTCCTGAGGTGATGGCAAACATTTAATTTTAATGAATGACTTTTTAGAGTTTATACAAAATGACCTTAGCTCGCTACCAGAAATGCTCCGAATGTTTTGTCAAGACTTTAATGCTCTCCTAGGATGTTTCTGAACTGCCTCCCAAATTAACTTTATGGGAGTCGACAGACAGCAAGACTGGAAAAGGCTGATTGGAGTTTGTGTCTTTCACATTCCTCTTTAAAACTCTTTGTTCGAATGCAAATCATCAACTTAAAATACTGTCCTTAAACGGAGGCTGAGAGGAGGAAGGAAGAAGCCGCTTGTGAAGCCCGACGGCCGGGCTGTGTACATCTTAACCTGCCGTCTGTGCCGTGAAATAAAAACGTTTTTCAATGTTAAACTGCGTCCCAGGCTCCAGGAGGCTTGAGCAGAGGGGATGCTCTCGGGTCTCCGCGCTGATCGTGGGGGGAGGGGCTGGAATGTGTGGACATTCGTATTTCAAGTACTCTCGCTTCGTAAGTCTTAGCTGCCTCGGACGATGGCAGGAAGTCTCGTCTCAGAGCCCAGTCAGCAATTAAGATGTCTTAAGTGCAGAACGTGGTCGCCCTTGGCCCCTTGCGCCGAGTCAGCGAGTCACGTGGGAAGCGTACAGAGATGTCGTTGGACCTCTTGAAATATTGCAAAGTGTTTCTGTTGTGATGGGATTTAAGGTTTCTGTACTTTCCGCGGTTCGCAGGATCTGTCTGTAGTTTTATACAGGTGCCGACCCCAGTTATGATGTATGTGCTGTGCACACTGACCTAACGCCGAATAAATGGAAACATTTACCATGTTTGAAAAGAACCCCATTGGACTTGATGTAAAGAACCGGGGAAGGTATTGAAAACGATTAAAACCTGCCTGGAAATGCAAAGCTATGGCTCCCTCCCGCCTCCCAGTGTCTATTTGAGGCCTCAAGCCTTGCCTGGCTGCGGATGGGGGTGGGGGAGACGAATTTTCGCCAGCTGTGTCCACACAAATGTGGCCTTGAAGACGGGAGCCTAGTGGGGTGTGAGCGTCAGAGTTTCGCGAGGGCTCTGAATCTTGCAGTTTATTCTCGTGATGGGGCCAATTCACACCATCCCCACCAAAATTCGGCGCACTCCCCCTTGGCCTGGCACGGTCCACAGCAATTTGCACTTTCCTGGGGGGTGTGGGGAGTGAGCCCCCAGAGCTGGTCATCAGAGGACTGACTCCAGCAGAGTTTTCCAACTCTTAAGTAGACACCACCCATGAGTCTTGAAATCCATATAATGACTGCAACTAGCCTTTTGTGAAAAGGAAACGGAATGCAGTCAGGTTGCCCAGAAATTTCCAGTGTATCAATCCCGGAAAGGGCATAGATTAGTTTGTGACCATATGTATATAACTAGTCTCTACTAGGATGTGATGGAGAACGGGTTTGTTAGTGTGGATTGCAATAAAAAAATTCAACACTGACCTAAAGTGCCTAGAATGTGGATTCCCCTCCCCCCCCAAAATAGACCCAGTCCCTTGACAAAAAGACCCAAAAAAGGCAATCAGGGCTGCCAGATCTTTAATTGTACTTACTGTGCTGTCCAAGACATCACCTTCTCCTTCCCTTCATTTCAATGCCCGTGACCTAGATGTGCCCAAGAAATGCATGGGCAGTGTTTCGGGTTAAATCGTGTCCCCGTAAAAAAGAAATGTTGGAGCCCCTAACCCCTAGTCCCTAGAATATGAGTTTGTTTGGAAATAGAGTCTTTAAAGAGGTAATTGCGTTAAAATGAGGCCATCAGGATGGACTTTAATCCCATGAGTTGAGTGTGCCTCTAGAAAGTTCAAGTAAAGACAGAGGGAGAAGGCCCCGGGAAGGAGGAGGTTGGGGTGACGTCTCTGAGCAGACGAATGCCAGGGAACACTGAAAACCACCAGCAGCTGGGAGGGCGGCCCGGAGCAGGTTCACCTTCACGGCCTCAGAAGGAGATTTTGAACTTCCGGCCTCCGGAACAGGAAGACCTACGTTCCTGTTGTGTTAAGGTGCCCAGCATGTGGCACTTTGTCCCTGGAACCCGAGAGAAGCTAATAAGGGTGGTTATTCATATTTCTTGCGGGGCCTGGGTTGGGGGGCCGTGAGGACTGGAGTGCTGACGGATGTCCGGGCTTGGCTGGTCTTCCGCCGTCTCCCGTGGTCCCCAGAAGGTCTCTGGCCCAACGCGGAAGGCCTCATCCCGCTGCTGGGGCGAAAGCCTGCCCAGCGTGGGTAGAATCCGACGCCTGGACTGGGCTTCCACTGGGCCTTTCCCCCGCCTGGCACAGACTGCAGATGGGCCCAGAGGGGGACGGAGGGGGCACCCGCTCACGTAACACGTACTTGTTGCGTGCCTACTATGTGCGGGGCACAGTGCTAAGAGCTTGGGGTATCCAAGTGAGGAAAAGGGAGGCCCCAGCCCGCATGGGGCCCCCGTCACAGTGAGGGAGGTGGCCGCACAGGAGGCCATGAGACATCTGGCAAGGGAAAGGGAAAGAGAGGGTCAGGTGGCCTCCACTCTGGCCTTGCTGGGGAGTGGCATTCGAGCCAAGACTTGAAGGCGCAGAGGGAGGAAGCCATTCTGGGAAAAGCATTCCCGGCCAAGGGAACAGCTAGGGCCAAGGTGCTGAGCCGGGGGCAGCCTCAGGTGCCAGTCACCAGTACGTGGGAGCCCCCTGTGGCTGGAGCCCCCTGTGGCTGGGAGGGGCGGGGAGGCCAGAGGACTGAGCAGAGAAGGGACACAGCCCAGCGGGAGTGTCCATGGTGGGGTGGCGGGAAGGGCTGTGGGCCTGGGGCCCCGAGACAGTAAGCAGAGGTACTGAGGACGGAGGAGGGCGGCCCGATGCCCCGGGGTACCTTCTCAGGCCTGTGTTCCTCACACTTGCCCTCCCCGGTGACCCAGCCTCAGGCCCACTGCCTCCCAGCTGTGTGACCTTGGACCAGCCCAGGGACTCCTCTGAGCACTACAACAAACACTAAGGGCCGCCTTTTGTTATCATTAATCTCCAAAGAGACGGGGTCGTTATAGTCTTGAAGTCCCAATCCGTTTTACTCTGTGCCCGGAGTGCTGTCCTGTGAGCGGGGGACCCTCCTGCGGGCGTGCCGGCTCCTCGGACCGCCCCAGATCACACTCCGGATTCCTCCTCCTCCATGCAGCCCGCGCTGGTTCGCTCCTGCCTAAGTGGGAGGGGTCGAGAGCTCCCCAGCTCCGAGTCTTTCTTTATCGGGAATATTTTCTAATTGTTCTTCGTTCATAATTTGAATCCTACACGCTTCTTAAAAAAACGAAACAACATGGGGCCAGGCTGGGGCCCACACGGGGCCTGTCATGGGCAGGGGCTGGGAGAGGAGCGGCCCAGCGCCAGGGCCCCGCGACTAGGCCTGCCCAGGGAGGAGCTGACCGGCCACCAGAGTCCCAGGGCCTCAGACACCCTTGCTGGACTGTGATGCCCCCTCCCCTCTGGGAGCCTCAGACCCGTTCCACTCGGGGCTGCAAGAGCACCTCAGCCTCCACGTGTCCACACCCTAGAATATCCCAGTCCGCCCACCCGCCCTCCTCCTGCCTGAGAT